AGCGCAGGCTTCCATCAAGGAGAGAGAGAAGGAGGTGCAACGTGCGCTTGCAACCAGCCTACGAGATAGGGACAAGGAGCGGGAGTACCACAAGAGGGATGAAGCTGTGCAAGTAAGTATAACTCTCCTTTTCACACCTATGTCTACACAGTATGTCTCATAGCTATCTATCTCTTATACTCCAATCCAATCAATATTTCACGCTAATCTATAGTTCACTCCAACGTATATTTTATTCTAATCTGCATTTCATTTCAATCTATATTTCCCTTCAATCTACATTGCACCCCAGTCTATATTTCAATCCAATCAACATTTCAATTAAAACTACATTTCACTCCAATCTACAATTCACTACAATTTACATATAACTCTAAAGTGCCTTACACTTAAATTTACATTTCACTAAAATCTATATTTCACTTCAATCTACATTTCACTTCATTCTACATTTAATCCGTAATTTGTTACTTTTTTTTCATGTATTCATTTTAATGTATACGTCAAAAGAATTTACATAAATATTCAATTCATAATAGATCTAATTCCCTCCACTTTAAGTCTATAATAACTTGCAGCACTTCAACGCACTATTAGCGGACCTGGTGCGCAACCCGGACCTCACTTGGCGGGAAGCTAAGAAACAACTTAAGAAAGATCACCGTTACAAGTTAGCGGAGTTACTCTCAAAAGAGGATAAGGTAACTTTATGTTAATAAAAAAAAAATATTTCGCACACAAACTATACTTCTGTACTAATATTACAAAGAGGAAAGATTTGTATTTTTGTTTGTATTGGAATAACTCAAAGATTTCAAAGATTCTTTCACCATTAAAAAGCTACGTTAAAGTGAGTAACATAGGCTGTTTTTTTTTAGTATAACTAAAATCCACATAGACGTAGTCGCGAGAAATAGCTAGTGTTTATATATTTTGTTATAACCTTTTCTGGTCTAAAAGTTGTTAATGTCTGTTTTTAAATTATTGTAGAATTAATTATTTTATATTACTTGGATTTCTTTTGAATTTTCAAAATGTTCGCTTATCGCAAGCTTTAAACCAAATTTCATGTTGTTTTTGCTTCTACGTTTTTTTACATAATGATACAGTCAATGGTCAATTTTAATTAATTTAACTTTATTTTTTACTGTATTTGGACCTTCAAACGTTTTTTTCTTTTTACAGATAGATATATTAATTCTAGATTAATGAAATTAAATTTACATGTAAATCTGTTAATTCTATATTAATCAAACTACATTTAAATTTTACTTATTCCACATAAATAGAATTACATTTAAATGTAACATATCCTAGATTAATGTAATTACATTTATATGTAACATCCTAGATTACTAGATTTACATTTAAATGTAACACCCTAGATTACTAGAATTACATTTAAATGTAACATCCTAGATTAATGTAATTACATTTATTTGTAACATCCTAGATTAATGTAATTACATTTATATGTAACACCCTAGACGTGTGTATCGGAGGCCAAGACCCACTTTGGGTCGCTGCGCCAACGCAGTAAGTAAGTAGTAGTAAGGGTGTTCCCTAGATTACTAGAATTTCATTTAAATGTAACGCATGGGAGATGAATGCAATGTATCTGCGCAGGAGAGGTTGTTCTCTCAGCACACGAGCGTGCTGGCGAGCAAGCGGCGCGACAAGCTGCGCGCGCTGCTG